CTGCGAACACGACGTTTCGCCATTCTGTCATCCAGATTCCTGTCAGAAAAATTCCGTATATTCATAGAATATCTCACTATTATTAAGTTCACAAAAAATACTTATATCTCGAAGATAGTTTTCTGATAATTTTCAACTATTTTAATCTAAAATCAAACAACTTTAGTTGAATGTGGACACTACATTCTCATTAAGAAATATTAAAAGTTACATTCCTATAACTGAAAAAAAAAATGAAATAAAGGGTAATTTACGTAATTACTGATGAACCGTAAGTCAGTTATGATTCGTCGTAACAAATCAAAAATTTGAGGAGTAAATTGTAAAATTGTTTATTTCTAAAAAGGATGATGTTCGAAATTTTATTCAAAATCAATCTTTTTTACTTCCTTGTACAAAGTAAAAAGGAAGTATTGTAATCGCGAAAAGTTCAGGCAGCATATTTCAACAAAAATATCCATTTTGACCACTATCGAATGCAATTTAACGATGTTTTAGCGTGATATCTGTACGCAAGGACAGAATAAAAGACTCTTTTCCTCCAAAAAAATTATAAAACTGCTTTAAAATGAATTCTGAAGAGAATTTTTCGTGGCGTCTGTACGAACGTATGTACGTACGTGCGTACGTACGTATCTTGCATAACTCAAAAACGAGTAGCCTCAGAATGTTGAAATTTTGTATATAGGACTGCTATAACATGTAGATGTGCACCTCGTATTTTGGTTGCAATCGGCCGCACCGAACGTATATAAATATATTTATATATATATCCGCTCTGTTACCCGGCTCAATGATCTCAGTTTCTTTACTCTTATATGTTTGTAAATTGTACATTTTTTTGCTTTAAAAATGATTGAATTATGTTGGTTTTATTTTCCGGTTACGGTTTTTATGCCTTTAGTAAATCTGTCTGCAATATTTTTGGAATTATCAACAATGTTAAAGTTGTTTAAGTTCCACTAAGCCTAATCCTCTTCTTAAAGGCGGCCATTGTTTGTTTACATCTGAAACAGCAGACTAGTGGATTTGTTGCCAATCTAGAGAAACGTAGCTTCGCAACAACAAAGATAACGCTTTCATTTATTATTGCCAATTAAATCATGCTTAATTCTTTCTGGAATTTTTTTGAGGAAATAAGTGTTTAAGATTTACTTCGTAATTTTTAATATAGATATTTTGAGTTTTTATGTATTTTTGCCTTCTCGCGAAGTGAGAACTGAATTAATTGAATGAGAAATACTCAATCGTCTGTGAAAAACTGTTTCTTTTTTGTTTTGTTTGCTTAATTTCTTCTATACATCGTTCTAGCTCTATTATAGTATTTGATTAGAACATGTGGCAACGATTAGATAATTCTATTCTTTAAATGATATAAATTTTGTGCATTATGAGTTATAATATGAACGAAATATAATACTGTTAAGTGAATCTAGCGCCAGAGTGTCGCTATGGTAAACAAATACTAGAGTGAATTTTAAAGGATGCATTTATTCTACTGTGGTTTATGCGCTGTCGGCGAAGTAGATTAAATTCAATCCAATAAGTTTAAATGAAATGCAAGAAAAAATGTTTATAATTTAATATTCCGTACAAGGAAGTCATGTGGTGTACACATCAGATTTTTTACACTAATATTTTCTTTAATAAAATTAGGCGTGCATGTAATAAAACATATTCACTTGAGGCTCTTTCTGGGAGCGATTGACTTGCACGAAATTTATAAAGCAGCAAATTCAAAAATATCTCAGGCAACCCGTTCTTATCGGTTATTTTGAACTCTTTGAAGATAAAAATTTCCATTTATCTTACAGGCTCTGTTACTTCTAGTATGTTATATTATTATTATTCCGAAGGGGCTTTTTTCTGAAGGACTATTGCTTTCGTTTTGCGATTTTGCGTTGAAAACTTTTAAAAGCTATATCACTTTTCAAATCGTTGCCACCGAATACTGTCGTCCTATATTATATTTAAAGAACTTAAATAATCAAGAATCTGCATAAATGTATGTATGTTTCTCGCATTTTGATAAAACAACGGTACCTTCACCCATCCAATTTTGAATGGCGTAATCCTACTGTGAATATGGGCATCTGAACGCCCAAATATAAAATTTGTAATTTCTTTATTATCGATTTCATATTTTGTAAAACTTTAACGAATTTTTGATGAACAAACTCAACGATTTAAAAGCGAGCAATGGCAACACTCTACGGGGGAAAAGACCTTTTTATCTCCAGCGCGCGGTACTGTGTATCGGGAATTCTAAAGATATGCTCATTTAAAAATTATCATGTGACATTGCTGTTGAAGTGAATTTTATGATTTAAGTGCAAAGAACATGATATTTAATAAATAAAGGTAACACACAAAACGTTAAAAACACGCCCCTTAGGACGTAATTTTAAATGTGAAACCTTTCAGATTTTATTTTAAATTTTAATTGTTTCAAATTACAAATTAAAAATAATTTGTTATATGGGAGAAAAGTAAGTAGAATAATTTAATGAATGATTTCTTCATGGACTAATTATTAAAACTCATCTCAAACGTATAATACTTATCTTTTGCAGAGTTTTCTTAATGTTTAATATAGAATTTAATTTTTGCCAAGAAAAAGGGTAATTTTTTTTCTCTTTACACACAGCCTTTAATTAAAATATTTTACGATTATTTTAGCAATAGATGAATTTATACAAACAAACGTTATTTAATTTAAATAATTTAGAATTTATTTGGAATACTTTATTTAAACAACGCACAGGGAAGTTACTTGCATGTTCCACATGCCAGTGTGACCAAGAACACATATGGGGATGTGAGCGTTTCTGACTTTCTATATACCTAGTTTCTTGACAGGATTTTTAAACAGACAAGCAGTAAGGGCCTTTGATTTCCAGAGAAATACAGTTACGGGCGTCCATGCCTTATTCGTGATTCGAACTAAATTCAAAGATACGCATAATCAGCTTCCTCTAACTGCCATATAGTAAGAGCCAGAAAATATAGTTATTTATTTTATTACGATATAAAATGTCCATGCTCATGTTTTGTTTTATTATCATCTAAAGTATTTATTTATAAAACAAAATACATATGCTCGCTGATTATATATTATGCTTCTTTCTTAAAAATAAATCGTATTTTGTGATGTGTCGTAAGAATTATGTGAATTATGTGCGATTTATGTGAATTATGTGCGAGTTAGATGAATAATCTGTAGTAGATATCTTTATACATTTACTAGAAGTTCATGTAATACTCTTGCAGAGGCATTAGGTATTGTTTGGAAGCAGGGAAGATGAAAAATTAGCAAACGCCTTCGCCCGGAATCGAACCACGGACCTCTGGAATACCGGCCCAGCGTTCAGAACCATTACAGCACGAAAGCTTGCAAAGAAGGTGGGAGAAAAACCTTATATACTTCCCCTTTTAAAGGGCGACAGGGGGTTTTTAGGGGACACAATCGCCACATCCTGGATGAGAAGAATCATCATCCAGCACCCTTTTTAGTTCGAGCGCCACTGTAGAGACATTAGGTATTTTTGGAAGTAGGCAAGATGAAAAATGAGCAAACGCCTTCGCCGGGAATCGAACCACGGACCTCTGGAATACCAACCCAGCGTGCAGAAACACTGCACCACGAAGGTACGTTAGGAAGGCGGGAGAAATACCTTATACTCTCTGTAAGGAAAAAGGAATTGCGAATTAAGTAGACTCTAAAACTGCCTTGAGGTAATTTGTACATCTATTCTTGCACGAGCAACTAAATCTAAATCATTTTGGACTGCAATTTCGATGCAAGGATTCCATATTGAGAAACTGACTCTGAAATTTGTGAACAACAACCATAATCAAAGAAATCGTGCCTCTCTTCCTGTACCATTGAATTTTCAAATTTAGAAGCTTAAGATTTCGGTTAAACTGATTTTTAAATTTCCCATTCTGCAGAGAAATTGCAGATGCAAAACTCTAAGACTTATGAGAGATTACAATGCCTGTTATATGCAGTTCTCTTTTCTAAACCAATATATTATCCGATACGGTTAAAGTAATTCAGATTCATTTTAATAAATGGCTTTAAAAATCTTTTAGATAACAGGTATTTTTTTCTATCTATGAATAATCCTGCGTGTAATGTATCGTTTGAAATCTAATTTCTTGGCAAATATAAATGAATATAATTGAATTGGCTTGAAATATAATTTCTTGTATTCTTTCTTCTTGTTGTAAAATTTGATTATATTAGCTTCTTCTCCCGTCAGTGCCAAAGAACTTAAGACTCATGTGGAATGTGAATACGATCCAGTTTTTCTTAAGAAGTCCGCCACGATGATATCCTTCCTTTAGGCAGATATCTCTCGGGGCTTTGCCATATTCACATAACTAAATATAAGAGCTTTTTCCATTATTTATCCTTTTAAGGAACAAATTTTAGGTTATAAGGAAAACAATTCTTTGATACATTCCACATGCAAATTTAATCCAATCAGAAAATTTTTAAATGGTTTTAAGGGCATATGCTTCTTTCATGTATTTATTATCGCTATAAAATCAGCGGATTTATTTTTTTTACCTTAAAGACATATGTTGTATTAAAAATTTTAAAGCTTTTGCGTGAGCATTTCCCTAAACATCTGTACTTTCTTATATGTGTAAATTTTCTTAAACGTTATAAGAAAATCCATTATATAGCATTCAATTTCGTCCCTCGAGTGCTTTACCATAATCAAGTCAACCAAAAACCAATCTTCGTATGCGAAAAAGCATCATATCACATGAAATAGTACATCTTACATTCAAAGGAAAATAATTTATACTTATTGGTCTTTTATTTCGTTGGTCGTAAATCGCGTCTGCTCCATATTTCATGAAAATAAATACATAACAAATCTTTTCAATTAAAATATAGCAATTACAGTATGTATATGAAATATCTAAAGGAACTAATAGGCTAATTAAATAAGGCATTTGAAAATTAAATGTCTCTGAAAGGATACCTTAGGGCAGAGGCTCTGTGAACATTGGCTCATAACATTCGTTTCAAGTGGAGGCAAAATATCATACATCTTGTGCGTTAACATAAACTTATTTAGCCACATTAATTCAGCATTAGCTGAATTTTATGATAAGAGGAATTATCAAAACTCATTTCTTCGGAAAAGAAATAGGGCTTTATACGAGATTTTTTCCCAAATTTATGCTATTATTTCACAAGGTATTTCATCTGCTAGTTACCAAAGGTCTACACGCATGAAGCACTGGTAGATTTCAATCTAAGTTGTTCAGTTCGCATGTATCGAACAAACTACTAGCAAGAGATTTCGAGTTTTCCCTTTATTTAATGTGAATGCGTTGCCTCTTTCTTTCATAAACCCTCATTAAAGACATTCCTCTGCTTGAACAGAAATTTCACATTCCATGTTGTAATTATAAAGTGATTTCTTTAGTTATTCCGGAAGTAGACGCATGTGAATTGAAAAACCTTAGATATAGGACATTTTAAGTTCATCTGAAATTTTCTCAGCTAATGCTTCAAAAACGCAGTTCATTATTTCTAAATATCTTGAAGCTACTAATGCCGTTGCCAGATATAGACTCAAAAAGAAATCTATTAAGAAAGACCGTCAGATATGTGAGACTGATGCAAACAAAGAAATCGCAAAGACAATTTACTAGACTGAGAACCCGCCATTTTAGAGGAATAAAAATTAATGAAGATGGTACCAGATTATATAGAACTTGTAGAAACTGTCCCGAATCGGAGCTTTCTCCAAAACCCATCTTCAACTGCACGGCAATACTTGCAACTCTGAAAAGCTTGGGGGAATTTCATTTTCAGGGAGAGCTATATAGTGAAAGGATTGTGGAACCGGCAAAAGCAGTGATTTCCACGCATGGATCCACTTGATTTCTGAAAGGACATAACACCAACCAACGAACCAACCATTATTTCTAAATTAGACGAAAATTGTCTCTTGCTATGAAGTTTTCTAATTTATGCAAACTAATAGTTTATTTGTTTACCCTAAATATAAGCTGCGGGAGAAAATTGTTTTTCGTTCGTTTATTTTTTATCTTCCTGTTTTTTTTTATCATTTATGCTATTTGCGGCACTATATTTGCAATAATAATATATTTTTATGCGATTTCCATTTTTTTAATTATTAAAATGAAAAATTAAGCACATTTTCCTAATTTTTAGAAAATTGCGTAAGTAACGTAGATTTTAACAAAAAAATCTAAACTGTATTTTAAAATACTTATGCTTTTTAGAATTGAAAGTTCCAAACATAACACATTAAAAGGTATAAATTTTGTGTCTGCAATTGGTAAATTCTACAAAGAGACTACGAACCTATATGAAATTATAAGTATGCAAAATTTATCTAGCTTTTAAGGTATGAAATGCTTAACATATCTAATAATCAGTAATGCTTATGAAAAATCTTTCTAATTAATTTCCTCTATTTATATCTGTAATTCAAAAGGTAACAACTTTAGCTAGTTAAGTTTAAATATGGAAAAAGAAATAACAGCAAAATGCTACATTACCAGATAGGACAGAAGGGAAAATGTTGCGCACACAAGATTCATTTCAGATTTCTATGTCTTCGAAGAAAACCAGCAGTGCAGACAAATTCAAAATTGTGAAATAAGTGTACGTTTTGACGTTCGCTTATATATCAAAATTGTGAATTTCCGCGTATACGAAATGTGTTTTTGAAATTGGCAATTACGAAATTTGACAAATTATCAGCTTTCTTCACGCATAAATCGTGCGTGTGAAGGAATAATGCATTAAAATCTTTAGATTCGAAGGCTAGGTTCACTCTGACGAATTAGACCATACTTTTTACAAGGAAAGGAATTTTCTTTCACAAGGAAACTGGTTTTTTACAAGGATTGGTTTTTACAAAGAAAGGAATTTCGAAAAAGCTTTGGAAGGTTAAAAAAAACGCAGAATTTTATTTCAAAATCCTCATGGAAGAGAATAAACCTGGAAGAATCATTTACACAAGCAAAATAATTGTCTAAATCTATACAAATCTGATTTTTTTGCGGAAAACAGCATATTACCTTAATAATTTTTTAAACAATTGATTTTTGTGCCATTGTAACGTTTACTCACTTAAATAACTTATCCACAGATATTATTTTCATTTTCACCTTACATGAAATAACTGCATTATTTAAATTTAAAAATCAAGAATCTGTGTAATCGAAATAACAATTTTCAGCGAATGAATTGCTAATTTCACTTACTGTTGGAATAAATTTTTGCTTTGACAAATTAAAACCGAAATTTATCTATTGACTAATATTAAACGTTTAAAAATTTATCAATTTAGTTAGAACTTCTGTTTTTAAATTAAATTATATGATGCGATAAAGACATAGCGCATTATAATGCTTAATTATGCTTACATTTCAGAAAAAAAAATTTTAATATCTCTTCTATTTATTTTATAAAAATAAAAATCTTTGCAAATCACATTAATTTCTATTTCCAACCAAAATATTAAAAAATTCCTTAATTGTTTTTTTTTTTTTGGTGCTTTAAAATTTCTTAATATGTTATTTTTAACCGCGGAATGCTTTGAAAGGTTGGCATTTTCGTTACCAACATTCATTCTCAAAGCGGAAGAAAAATTCGCAACAGAATATCTAGAAGACCCATATAATAAATTTATATGGATCCATATAACAAAGTTACGGTTCATTTTGTTTATAGTTGTACATATCTGTTTTTCCAATTACTAATTTTTGTTACATTTTGTATATTATTTACTAAAAGTGGTTACTATCAAAATGAAGTTACAGTGAACCAACCGTAGCTATTTTGGTCGTGCCGCTTAGTCAACAGCAAGAGACATTTCCGCCTAACTAGCATTTAGCCAGCACGTACACTTCAGCCTAAAATACTTTCACTGATATGTACAATAAGAACAAAAAGTGTAAAACTGTTTTAAAAAAATCCATACATATTATCGGCCAGGAGGGTTGCAGCACACTCGTATATTACATTACATTATCTTTCACTATTTTTTAAAAGTGAAAGGGACTAGAGATTTCTCGGCGGCCCAGGTGAAACTATATAAGACCTGGGACATCATCAGTTTCTCAGGTTTTGTTTAGCTCAGCTTGAGTTTCGGGTATGTAGAGATCCCCGCAGCAGTTTCGTCGTTTTAGATGTGCTCTGTATTACGTTGTGTTTAACGTTCTTAATAGTTTCAAGTGTAACTACTTATAGTGCTCTGTGGTACTGCGAACAGTTGCACGCCTATTTTTGTGGAAAGTTCCAGAATTGTAAAGTGTTTCTTTTGAATAAAATTAATTTTATCAAGCTAACGCCGGTTCTATGAACATGCAATGTATTACGAACACGAACGCACGCAATAATACAGAGTATTATTATCATTACCAATATCTGATAAAATATCTTCATTTCTACTTCCCTGTATCCTGCCATCCGCTCCTATTATTGTCTACTGCTAGCCCCTAAATCTCTAATCATTAAATGCAGGTGGAAATGTTGTGCGAGCATTCTGCTACAGCTTTGCGATCGCTTTCGTCGTCACCGTTCATTGTCTTTAGAGTCAGTAACTTCGAAATCATAAAAAAACATTAGATAACAGCGTTTTCTTAAAACGTTTCACGATTATTTATTATTCATCAGTCAGAGACCAAGCATCCCAAATCTACCAGCATATCAGTTAGTAAGATGAAAACAACCGCTACGTTGAAGAGTTCGTTTTTAAAATTTAGGTAGCTCTTTTTCTGAAACCCTTGAAGTTGAACATTACGTATACTTAAAAAAATTCAGAACCATGGTGTGAAATTGCTAAAGGAAAAATTAAGAAAAATACTTTAGGAAATACTGTATTTCATTCTGCTTTCAGATTATACCAGCTGTTCTGCAGAAGCAGAGAATCTGCCGACAATGGCATGCATACGTTTCGAATTGTTAGAATCAGGCTGAAAATTCAGAAGATGCTACAGATTATCCTTAAAATTCATTCTTATGCAGCTGAAGAAATTGCCGAAACAACACGATTGAGCTTTATTCCTTATTGATTCTGAGCATTATTCGGTTCTTGTGAAATGTTTCAAGCTTGCTCAGCGTAAGACAATAGTCCAGCGGCATCCCCATGTTCTTCCAATCTCATTTCTTGCGAATTTTCGTTTTCGGAGTGGGGTAGAGGATCAGTTGAGTAAACCTTAGAGCCTGAGAGACAGTCATTTCTGGTTGTTAGGGAAGAATACTTGCTCTGGCAGCACTACGTACTCGACCATTACTTCAAAGGTGATATGCATAGCACTTTCTTTTAAAATACTATCTGCATGAAAGCGTACCAGGCTTTTAATCTTAATTGATAAATGAAAAGATCGAGATCATATTATCAGAAGTTCCGTTCCTAAAACAGATTTTAATATGCTTGAACATAATAATTATTGATAAACAGTAAATTAATTTTAATTGCAATGATAAATGTACATTCACCTAATTATCCGTAGTTTCAAATGGACGTTATTCGGTTAAGATGGTTAAAAAGCAAATCTGAAAGTATAATAAACAATTTGTTTGTTTACATTGTATTTATATAAAGTATAGCTTTTTATGATGTGATGTTTCTGATTCGATTTTACTTTCTTTTAGGTGAGTACCGGAAGATTTGATTTTATAAATTTTGTTTTGAGAAAATGGCCTGCTTTATCCTTTAGCACTTCCGTAAAATAGGTAAATTAATTTTGTTTTGCTTTGTGAGTGTAATATTTAAGCTTATTATACGTGTACAGTTATCATTTTGAATAACTTAACTTATTTTGAATAATTTCAGGATTTAGATCTTTACTGTCAGTTATCTTTCTGTTTCTATACCAGAATGCAATTTGTTTCGAGAGTATATGAGGTGAGATTTTCAGCTTGTAAGGCAGATAGGATTATACCGTTAGGGTTTGCATTATAAATTTCTTCATTTAAATCGTTATGCCTCTGAGAAATTTGAACCAACTTCGCGTTAAATCATTTCTAGAGCCCTTGGGTACTAGAGTTAGATTTAAATTT